CTCTTGCCGGGACTCGAACCACGGACCACTCGAATACGCGCCGAGTGTGATGCCCATTACACTACGAAGGCTTGCTAAGAAGACGGGAGAAATATCTTAACTGTTACTGTGATCTATAATATAAATAAGCATCATCCCTTACAATTTTTAAATGACTTTTGATTTACGTCGGGTTTAATTACATTCCGTGCTTTTATTAGATTGACGTCACGCATTTGCCTCTATTTTAAATGCTTTTTCGCCTGCTAACATTCAATATTTGCACTTTTTCCCTGGTGTTTTGGGAAAAGAATGATATTTGTTTCTATCACCCCTTTAAATAGTGCGTTATGTTTTTACGTTCAAAGCTTAAGTTCAGCTGAGCCCGGCTATGCTATTTCTTAGTTCTGGATGAAATTGAAATTGTAATTCTAACCCAGTGGTTCTCGACGCCTATTCTATGATCACTGGATCTGCCTACAACTTAAGCGAACAATATTGACTCAAAGAAACCGGTATGGACAGCCATCAACAACTTATCGGAGAAAGCCATTCTGTGGTCCTCAGTTGGTGGGCGGGTGGGTCCATTTAACTTTACTGAAAGGGGACAAGGCTTCAAGGAGCTTTAGACCAATCGCAGTACAGACGAGTGACGAAATTTATAGCGCGCGCTGGCTGAAGTTCTAGGAATGTTCTCCCTATTATTTCACTAACTCACACGCTGCAATTGTAGTTCGAAAAAAATTGCACAAAACAGTATTATGACCAACACGCAGTGGAATATGCTGCTGTGTTATGTGAAGGAAAATTCCGTTTTTTAAGGGGAAACTTAACGCAGGAATTTAGAGCTAAGAAATAAAGAGTGATATGGGATACCACGAAAGCAATGGTAAATACATAAAAGTAAATGAATTAAGCTTACTTCAAATCCTTTTAGAAATAAACAATTTTAATCATTTAAATTTATAATATGATTAATTTGCATTACAATCTAATAGCAAACTAAGTTTTTTTTTTTTTTTTTTTTTTTTTTTTTTTTTTTCATGCTGTTTTCCCGCAATTTATTTACAGTTACTATTGGAAAAATATTTCTTTACATAATAAATTAGAAAGAAAAATATTTTTCTTAATATTTCTTCCTTTTTTAATTTTCTTTTCTATGAAATTATTTCTTCAGGAAAAGAAATAAAAGTCATTCGCTATTACAGTATGGCCGATTGCTGCTGCATTCAACTATCACACACGCATCAAAATGCTTTATTTTAAATAATTTATTCTATAATTAACATGAAAGAAAATATTTTTTCAATATAAAATATATAACCAAAATTAAACTAATCTATCCTGTATGTGTGATTAATTAGTTTTGCAATTTTTGTCACACAATTACTAATACCTTTTTTTTTAATATTACATTGCTGTTACTTGAATTTTATATATATATAAGAACTGCTCAGTTTAAATATTCTTCCTTCTCAAAAGATTTTATTTTGTGAAAATAATTAAAAGATAGTAATATTTTCACAGTGTAAGTACTAAAGTAAAAATAATCAGTGTAGGTCTCTTGCAGTTGAAATCCTTGTCAAACCAGCGTTTCGACACATTTTAAATAGAAAACTAATAATAATCAATATCTCTTTTACAATACAAAACGAGAATGCTATGAACAGTATTTGTTTTTTTTTTTTTTTTTTTTTTTGTTTGTTTGTTAATTTGCAAAGAAACAATGATTTTTTAATACTATAATAGGTTACCAAAGTACTATCCATGAACAACCCTCAGTCTTATAGCATTGTTACTTTATAGCATAATACAATAATAATGCAGTATAATTCTACTAACAAGCCCACCAGTTGCCGAGCGGTAGAGTCGCTGAACGCAGGTAGTTTGGTCCGAGTTTGAATCCCGGGAACGAGCTAACCGGCGTTCCGTGGCTTTCACATGTGTAACTTGTATACGAGCCAGTTTCCCTTAGAAGTCCTCACTTAGAAACCAGTTTTAAAACGTAATAAAATTACCCACAACACACCACACACAAAAATAATAATAAAAAAAAATTAATAATTAATTAAAAAATCTGAAGCATTCAGATTTTATATTACTTCCAAAGGGCCATTATTTAACGTTTTGCGTGTTACCTTTATTTATTAAATATCATGTTTTTCGCACTTAAACCATAAATTCAATTCAACAGCAATATCATATAATTTAAAAAAAGCATATTTAGAATTTCCGATACATATCTCCCGCGCTAGTGCTGAAAATGTGTTTTTTTTTTCTGTACAGTGTTGCCATGCTCGCTTTGAAATCGTTGAGGTTCTTAATCAAAAACTCATAAATGCTTTACAAAATATGAAATAGATAATAAAACAAATTCTCAGTTCCCAAATTTGGGCCTCCAGATGCCTATATTAGGATGGAGATTACGTTATTCAGAATTTTCATGGCTCTAGGTAGCGTTGTTTTATCACAGTGCGAGGAACATTCATACATTCTTCAGATTCATCATTATTTAATTTCTTTAAATATAATAGAGTGGCGATAATACTTGGTGGCAACGATTTGAAAAGTGAAACGCCACAAATGGCAAAACGAAATTAATAGCCCATCTGAGCTAAAACTTATTTTTGAAACTATCACACTAGTAGTAAGTACAGCTACTGAAAAGATATTATAAAGCTATTTTATAGTTTTATAATTTTTTTTTTTTTTTAATTTTTATTTTACAGTAGTGTGAATTTCGCGTAATAATAACGACATTCCTTTTTGTGTTCGCAGTATTATTCGTAAGGTATTCAACTGTTAGATTTTAAAGTTAAACGTAATTCTTGCTGTACATAAAGAGTAGAAGCTTATCGGATGTCTATATTTGTGTTAATAAAGAAGTTATGTGCTTTGATAAACTTATTATCTTCTACATTTTTAAAGCATACAATTACAATTTATATCTATAATTTCTGGAATAGTATACTTTCTTTCAGTAGAAAATTGCGTCTTGTTTTCTGAATGTGGCTCCAAATACTCTCTCAGTTCATCGCAAATTAAAGTAACTATAAATTTTGGCAATCTGAAATACGCAATGAAAACATCTTTTGGCAGAGCAAAAGCCATCAATATATTTTCTATAAATTCGCCACCGATTCAGAGATCTACGACCGTATTCTTCGTTTAAATATGAAAAAATCAGCGCAGCGAAAACACATACAAAGCCATTGTCTACTTAGCAACGTCAACTGCACAACCCTGATTGACGACGCGCGGCAACACTTTTTCACGCGCTTTCGACAACTTCCGTACTCAGAGAATATAGGATGTCGGGCAGACCTGTTTTTTACTAGCAGCGACATCTGGCGGCCCACAACTTGCTGTCGACTCTCGTAGCGTAGAATAACCGTCCTGTACGTCAGTGTTTTGCCGTGAAGCTGTCTTCACCGTTGCAACTTTGAAGGCTGTGTTGCTGATTGTTTCAGCGTGTTTATCGTGGTTTTTCGACGACTGTAACGCGTCTTTGGAACTGTCCTGTGTAATACTGACGAAGAAATTGTGTTTTGATTCTTCAGCAAGCGCTGTTGTCAGTCGCTCCAAATCCACGAACCCGTAGAACACAACAATATGTTTTACAAATTAAACAAAAAGAGGTGTAGAAATTGTTGGAAAATATCAATTTTTATGCTCATAAACTAAAACTAAATGCTTAACAGCTAAGCAAAAGACTGATCGCATTCCCCCTGAAACTATTTTCCTTGGTTAAAAACACCAGTTCTAGCTGCAGCCCGAAATAACAGGAATAATTTTATTGCATTCTTAGCTTTTTATCATTAATTTAGTGTATTAAAACTTTATTTATCTCTTTACATTTTAATGAATTTCAATTATTTTATTAATTTTTCATTTGGTTTTTTTTATGTTTCTTGATGGCCATGTACAGGACACTTCTACATTTATTGATAAATCGGGCAGTAGAAATTGAAATAGTTCTATTTTATTAATTTGATTTTGTTTGATTTTCTTTCAGATATACCCAGACGAAAAGCATTCCTTGGTCAATGTAAAAATGCACCTCTATCAAACAATGGAAGACTTTCTGGAGTACACTTGTTTCAAGTCCCAAGAAAGGCCTGCGGACATGCACAACGGAAGATAGTTTTTGTAGGAAAGTGTCGCCCCTCTTCTGTTGTTTCCCTTTTCGGGACAGCTCACGTGATCTAGTGAAAGAGCTTCCCATCTGCCCCATTAAGGCAGAGTCTGGCTTTTTTGAGGAAGGTTTGCGAATGAGATCATATGCAGGAAAAGATCGCACATGTCAGTTAAAATAATACTCTTAAGCTAAAGATTTGGAAGGAAAAACAGAGTATTTTAAAATCCTCAATCCACTGCTTTTTTAATATTAACTAAAAAATCGTTTTTATACTCGTTAGTAAAAATTAGTTAATTCAAATAAATAAAGTAGAATCATTCAAGTAGAGTAATAATTTCAATATTTTCACTAAAAGCGTTAAAGAAGCTAAATTTTCAGTTTTAATAAAAATATTTATAAAGCAGTTTTTAACTTTAACTTATTCAGTGTTCTTCCTACATTGTTTTCAGTAGGTCCTCCACAGAAACCTTTTAAAAGTTAAATGTTCATGGGTTCTATGTAATGAATATTTTACACTAAAATCCTCAACGAAAAAAACTAATTTTTGCTCACATATTCAAAAGACGTAGGGGTACAATATTATTGAATTTTAATTTAATAGTTTTTTCTGAGTTTTTATTTTATTTATTTATTTATTAGCTTATTTTGCATAATATTTTATATAATTGTGCAATCTTTCTTAACCCAAAACGTAATTCTAAAATATTTCTCAAGCTCTGTGATTTTAATTACTATAAAATGTAAGCTTCGAGTATTCAGCGTAATTCTCCGTTCTACCCTTACTTTGGAATAGTATGTCACTAACAAAATAGAAAAAATAAGAATTGCAAACAGAAAAAAAAAAAAAAAAAATATTCATAACTGTATCAAAAGTTCTACTCACTTTTTCTTTTCACTAAAAGAAGCAATATATTCGTCTTGTTTCCTTTTCAATAAAGTTTTATCCACACAGAAATATAAAATTAATTCATTTCATTTCTGTATTTCGCAGCCACATTTTTCATTTCCTGGAATAAAAAATTTAATAAAAATTGAGTATTTTATGATTTTGTTTCTGTGATAAAATATTTTGCCATTTCGACAACAAAATATTTTTTAAGTAAATGGGAATTTATTTTGCTTCTGAGAATCCTGCAAGAACAATTTTTCATTTTTGTGACTCAGAGAATGTACAACTAATTTCGGCTGCTCATGTTTTGCAATCAAACCTTTTTGTGGAAACAAAACTTCTTTTTTTTTTTTAAGAATATTTTTTTATTGCCGTGCTATTATGGAAACATACTTGTAATATTTGAAGGCACCGACTACAGCTATTTCATTTACACTTATTATTCTTTACTTATCCATATGCCGTTGCATTCATAAACTTCATCTAGAAATTCGATTTAACTTCATCTAGAAAGTTCACATCTTTCAAAAATGCTCTAAGTGTCATTTTCTGACAGCCTATATATGAGCACAGAGCAAAATTTATCAGGAAAAAAAGATTATTTTCTAATTAAAGTATAAAAAATAAGTTATTGGAATAATTTTAGAATTAATTGAATAATCAACTGGCACAGTTTTAGAATTAATCGATTAGTTTTAGAATTAATTGCAGAACCAACTTGTGAAGTTTTAGGATTATTCGATTAGTTTTAGAATTAATTGAAAAATCATTTTTTGCAGTTTTAGGATTAATCGATTAAAAAAGGAGATCTGCATCGATTAAGGATAGTACGTAAAACATTTTCTTAAATTTATAAGCAAAACTGAATGCATTAATTGCAAATAGAATGCAGTATTATTGCTCACAAAATATGGACTCGAATCCAAATAAAAAAACAGCTAACTATAAATGTATCAAAGTAAATATTTAAATTATTTGTTGAGACAAGGTAAAAAAAAATAAGGATAGATAGGTTTGAAAAAATAATCCAAAGAGGCGTTTTTTAGCGTTTTGTGTGTTATCTATTTATTAAATATCATGTTCTTTACACTTAAACCATAAAATTCAGTTCAACAGTAATATCGCAAAATAATTTTAAATGAGCATATCTTTAGAATTTCCTATACACAGTTCCGCGCGCTGGAGATAAAAAGGTGTTTTTCCTCCCGTAGAGTGTTGCCATTGCTCGCTTTTAAATCGTTGAATTTGTTAATCAAAAATTCATTAAAGTTTTAGAAAAACATGAAATCGATCATAAAACAAATTCCAAATTTCAAATTTGGGCTTTCAAATGCCCATATTTGCAGAAGGATTACGTCATTCAAAATTGAATGGCTCTAGGTACCGTTGTTTTATCACAATGCAAGAAACATACATACATTTATGCAGATTATTCATTATTTAATTTCTTCAGCTATAATACAGGACTGCAACATTTGGTGACAATAATTTAAAAAGTGATATGCCGTTTATAGTGGTTCGAGGAAAAATCGCAAAACGAAAACAATAGTCCTCGAGGGACAAAGTCCCTCTGGACTAAAAATATAAGATTTTGCTTTACACGTTTTCCCAGTGGCAACAAATAGTTCATTCATATATTCTTGAGAAACTTGGAAACTTTCTTTTAGTTCTCGTGGAACGGTTGTCCAAGTCTAAAATAGGAATCATAAAAGTTTTCTTAAGTTAGAGAAATAAAATTCTTTATTTATCCCAGGAATTCCCCAGTTTCACTGTTTAACCCCTTTTCACTCACGGAGAACAGCAATCAATAAGGACAAATCCAAAGCCATCATTTTCGAAAAAACCTACCTATTATTTATTTATTTGCGAAAGGAATTGATGAATTATTTACATAAATTATGTAACTTATTGGTACATTTAACAACAAACAAACTACTATGGGTACGTGTTTAGAAGTTTGGCTTACTCATTACTGGGACCTTAGATGTCAAAAGTAAACTCACTGTCACTGAAAAAACATCCCCTCTACATGTCCTATTTTAAACTGGGATTATGCAGGTAAGAGCAATCTTGGAAAAATACCAATAATATAAACAAAATACTGAAACATGGCTTTAAATCTTAGGAAGGAAGAGTTTCTGGCAATCGTAAGTGATATTCCGTTTTGGCATCCTTACGCTAGATGATAGCTCAGCTTACGCACTGGTAAAATAAGTTAGTCAGCTCTTTTTATTGAAGTTGTAGTCTTACTAAATGAGATTATCCACGTTTGAATTTATTTGCCTATTATCTCTTAATTTAGATTTCCACAAGTAGTGGTTTGTCTATAGCAAAGGTCATGCCTTTTATGCTAAAAGTCCAACCTAAATGGAAAGATTATTTAAAATCATGTACTTGGGAATATTTAAGACGTGAAGATAATTGGCCTGCTACGGTCTGCAGGGACAAAACCTTCATTTTCAGATGAGCAAAAACCCTACAACTTCTTGCTGCGACTGATGCCAGCAAGCATTCAATATTAACGAGAGAACGCGTATGAATGAAATTCTAGCGTTGGACAAGTTTTAAGAGGAAACAATTAAGAAAGCGCTTATATACGAAATCGCGCTGCTCAAATCATCGCTGAGCAAGGATAAACTGTATTTCACATAGCTCACGTGGCAATTGCTTCATACTTCAGCAGACATAAAGACTTTACTTGTTATCTGTATACAGGATATCACGAAACTTATGTTCATATTCTGATCTCTAATGTCTGTAATTGTATTGCAAATCCTATGTTTGCAGTACAAAATATGATTTTTTTAAATTTTACTGTAATAGAATTTTTCTCGTAGGTGACGTTTACTTGTTGCATATAATTGAACCCGTCACAGATATATGTATCAGTAAGTTAAGAAATAAACAGTATAAAAGAGAAACTTTTAGCAAAGAGAAAATTGCGTTTTATCCTAATATATATTTAATAAAGTTCAAATTTCGAGCAAGGGAGTTATATGTTTTAGCTTATAAGAAAAAAAATAGCACTGGATCTTTCTGAAATTTTCCGGATGATTGTTTAATATCGTTATTTCACCTTTTCCTCTTAATGTCTTTTCCTCTTAATGTAAATTATTTCGGGGAGATTGGAGGGGGAAGTTGCTTGCTTCTGTACTTCCTGTTCCTAAAATAATATTTTGAACCTTTACATAATCTTGGATGATTTTGTTCAGATTAATGAACATAGGCCTTTAATGTTATTTAGCAGAGATAATTACTTTCTTACTTTCATTACATAAGCACATAATTATTTCTTCTTTACCGAGTATAATATTTGTTTTTGTTTTCATTCTTTTTCTTTTGTGGTACAGTCTGCAGCGAAAAAAATTACATTTTTCCTCCCGAGAAAATTTTCTAGATTTTTTCTTTTCGTAGATTTTCATAATTTTTTTTCCTCCTACTTATTTTTTCTCCTTCGCTTTTGATATCAACTCCGCCGCTTCATCCACCATTAAAAATAAATGTCTTTTGGAATGACGAGGTATTTTAAGTTAACTGTAAGATAATTGTTGCGAAAGAAATTAGTATTAGCTTTCGTTAGCATATACTGATAAAATTATCTCCTTTTATTAGGAAGAGGAATAAAACCTGTCTTCCGAATGATATAAATAGACTGACACGATTTGAAGATGTGCAAATAATGTTTTCTTTTATAAAATATGCACCAATAGTGTTGTCTTCTTTCTGCCATTGCATTGATTATGCATATGCTTTTGTGCACTTACTGTTAAGGTATCCGGTTATGTTCTAATCATCAATTTTGATGAAATTTTTCGAAGAATTTTTAATTACTTTAATATAAAACTTATACATTAAGCTTCTCCGATTTACTTTTATTTTGTTTCTCCGTTCGTTAGAAGCAGAATAATAGCTGTTTTTGTTCTACGCCGTGAATTGTATGTTTCTGTTTAAGAACCCGAAAGCTGATATCTGAAGGTACCTAAACTATTCTAAATGACTTTAAAATGATAATTTTTATTTGAATAGTTTTGGCGATGTAACACCCAGACGTTACTGTGGTTAGGGAATCCGACTGCGATACCAAAGGCTCCGAGTTCGAATTCAGGAGAAGACGTGGTTGTAACAATCCATCCCTTCATTGGAAGCAAAGGTAGCCCGTCTGTTAGGCGCCTCCATAAAATAAGTGACCACCTTAGGAATGGCCAACGTCTATAACGACTTGTGTCCGCCCCTGTAGGGATAAAAAAAAAAAAAAAAAAAAAAACTTTTGGTGATATTCAAAAGGTGATTTTGAACTTTTCTATTTGTTATTAAATGCTCAGGAACACGATTACTTTTTCAATTTAATTTTCAAACTTAGCATTATTTTCTATTCCTTCCGCCTGCATTTGCTTTATTTACATTAAAACATTATTTTTTTCAACATTTCTGTTACGAAAAACATTTAACTTAAAAATATCACTATATTAATTGTATGAAGCTTTCCGCAAATATTCTGTGAAATATTTTGAATGTAATGCTCTAAATGTTTATTTACATATCTAAAATTCTTTTAGACAATTTTGTAAATGAAAAGAGAGAAATTTCTGTATAATATAGAAACTACAAAAATAGCTACTGCATGTACTCGAACAGGTATACATTTAAACAGAACATTTTACTTTTTTCTGAGATTTTAGTTCATTTAATTCCTTATACCTTAATAAAATAAAATATAAAAGTAAAATAATGGTAAGCATTTTTGCGGGAACATTTCTGAGTAATCCTGAAATTAAACACATTTTTAACCCAAAATATTAGAAAAAAAAAAATAAATTATACTTTGATAATATGTTTATCACCCGTTTCTATCATTTTAGGCAATATTCGGCTACAACTATAACGAAAATAACAGATTTATTTATATTATTTTCCAAAATGCGGGTGTCAAACGTAGTCGGATAGTTTCAGTGGGTTTTCGGATATTCTATTGACATGCTATAAAATTCTATCAAAATGCAGATGAATTACCGGAGCCGACATGAGCTTCAAATATCAGGTGACCCAAAATAAACTTAATTAAACACAGAAGACTTCATTTGCTTTGGCTTCGGTTTATCTTGTATTATCCGATTGTAT